TTGCTGAAGCATGTGCCAGATGTCTACAGGGGGAGAGGGGAAGAGATTGATGGTGAGCGCTGATGTCGCACGCTCTGATATGAGTCGCCTCATCAACCTCAAATTCATTGCCCGCTTCTGGCCTCCAACACCATCCGTCACTGACGCGACCAGTTTCTCAAAGGTTGCAATGCGCATTTTATAGCCAATATTCAAGGGGGTAAATAATTTCTGAGTAGCAGACAATGAAAGAGTAGGACAACAATCACCACAATGCACACACATTCACACAGAATCCACTTCCCGAGGGCTCCATTGACTCCCACCATAACTCTACTCGTAGGCCTAATTTATGCGCTAGACGTTTGGTATTCAGAGGCTGTTGCCAGCTTATTCTCCCACATCATCTATATTGGCTCATAGTATCAAATATTACTTCTAACACCATATTCATCAAGGTGGGGGTGTTAACTCATTACCTATGAGAGGATGGTGTTCATTCACAGCGCTGAACAATGTGAACAGAAAGACATTATTCTTTGCAGCGCTTGAAAAGGATTTAAGGGAGCTGAGAGGATGGAGGCAGCACAAAAATTGGGAAGATTTGATCTGTCACTTTTGAGACTTTTTCTTTCCTGTAAGCCACAAATATCTTCATGTTTTATTGATTCATTCAATTTTTTGTTCTATTTTTATATCACAGGATGAAGTGTATATGGACTTCCTAAAAATATTCTGCGTTCTGTTTACATTTGGTCCGGTTTTAACTGTCAAACTGTATTTTTCCCTGCATACATTAGCACACATTCATCCTTTAGAAACAGCACTGTACAAATAGACTAAACATGTTGATGTTCCCTCTTTGGAAAGGTTAACAGAGTAACGAGTAATAATGCATAGTCGAGACACTGATATATTGTTGGTGTCAAAGCTGCTTGCAGTTATTACAGTCCACATCACATATTCTATTTCCCCCCTTTAATATTCAGGTATATTTGTAACTCCACTTTGATTTATTACCACATCAAAGACAAGCATTTCAGTATCAATGTTATTAGTGGAAAAACATCTGCATTATGTCAATGGCGAACACCATTGTGTGAATTAAGCCTACTCATTCTTTTTAAATCTCACTGATGTCACCATGTCCTGCAATATCACTTTCCAGATGTAAACACAGCTGCTAAACTTTAAAAAAAACACAGTAACAGTGCATCAAACAAGTCTCTAGAACAGATGTTGTGTAAAACCATGTTCTGAGACGAGTAAACAGAGACCCGGGAGTGAGAGAGTAACCTCCTTCATCTGTACCTGAACCCTGACGGTTAGGGCTGAGGGATAAAAGATAATAATTATCATAATGTTATAAACATATTCCGTTATAAATCAGTTTTACACCATAAAACACATTTTCTTGTGTTCTCTGACACAAACAGAATGAATGTAGCTTGCAACAAATTCTAACTTTTGAAAAGCAAGTACAAAAAAGAATAAACCTCGATGAAACTGTAGATTATAGTGTGGGCGCCAGGGCCCTGCACACATCATCAAGTCCCAGCTATGCATTGTGTTGTAGGAACCTTACGGTGCAATTACTTGTCCTTCCCTCCCCTGACAAAGTGGCGTGGGCAGAAAAGCTTCTGTTAATCATGAGCTCTATTTTATCCAGGTAGAGACCCTTTGCTGTGCGAGGGAGCCGCATTAGCACACTTGCCGAAAGATCCCAAGCCCGCATTACCATAATGGTGGCCAAAATGTCAGCAAAAAAAACTGGGAATTCATCATTCCTCATCTCTCCCTGTTTTAAAAATGTCAATTTTCAGCTCCACTTGATGACCCTGCAGCCTTCAGCCCAATACCAACAGCGAAAAAGAGAGAGTTCATTCAATGGAACAAAAGCCCGTACATATGCAGTCATCGCCTCTTGTCTTGGCAGTTTGTATACGGAGAACCATAAGTGACAGCATGCCCGCAACCTCATTTGTCTATAATGTACATTACAGTAAGAGAGTGTGTTTGCCTCTGTGCATGTGTGTGTGAGAGAGAGAAAGAGAGACAGAGTGCATAACAGAGGGAGAAACGGAACTATTACTGTGAGGTGTGTGTGTTCTCCAGTGTGTGTATTCCATTAAATGTAAGCACGGTGTACCAGTGTTAATCTATGTGAGTGGCCAAGCAGGCGGCAGAGTGTGAGTCAGTGCGGGGGTGCGGACATGGAGTGAGGGTAAGGGGCCAACTAATGCTGAGTGGCAGTTGATAATGCCACACCGTTATATCAGCATCTGCCCTCCGGCTCCATGCTCACCTCTCCGAGCCTGCTGCTGCCATCAAGCATTTCAGAAGAGACACACACATGCACGCACAATGACACGACTGCCTTGCAAACACTCCGCATTCTGCAGCAAACAGTTCCTTGCACAAAATCTAATCAAACAGAGGTTATGTGGCGCCTCAAGCCATCGTATCAAATTACAACTTCATCTAATGTGTGCATATCTCGCCTGCCAACACAAAACAAATATTTGCACCCACAGACAGACACAGTCTAAACCTTCCTCAAAACAGAAACAAAGCGCCATTTTAGTTCCCAGGTAGAGAGTGAGCTTGCAACACAGGACTGTGTAATTGCTGCAGCGTCACCATAAGCTTCTGTATGTATATTTTTGATAAGCTTAAAAAGCCTTTAAAATTAGACATCAAACAGGATCTTTCTGTTCATCTGTACCTTATATTTCTCTGATCAGATAAGAAGTATCAGGAATCTAACATTCACATCAGTAGAGCGTGACATTTTGAATCAGGCCACACAATAATGAATGAATAAAGTCGGCCTCGTGTGACGTCTGCAGCTAATATCCAATTAACCTTAGAACAACGCTGATAATATGGAATCCCCGTCTGTGGTTAACTGAACGTACAGGGCAAGTATTAACACAGCACACACAGACACACACACACACACACACACCTAGAAATGAAAGCTGTGACGCAGTGAGAAACAAACCCGTATGAGGACTGACAGCTGAATTTAGTGGCACACAAGGCCAGGGCGGAGACTTGGCACTGATAAATGAAGTGTATGGAAATGAGCTTGGATTCAGCATTGTGTATAAACTTGTTTCTACATTATCCTGCACATGAATTCCAGTAATGTCAACAAGAAAGCTGAATATCAGACATACTATAGCTGTGTACTTATTTGCCCTTGAACCATAATGTACAAAATGCTCCATTACAGCAGACCTTGGGAATGAAGGTGGAAGTGTTTTATTTTATTTTATAATAAATAGAGCAGAAATAAAGTTGGAAAAATAACAGAGGTGAGTTCACATGAGTGGGTCATGTAGCCGAAGCATCCCTCTACAACCCAGAGTTGTTTACTTCATGGAGCCTTTGATTCTTATCCTGTTTCAGGCAGGAGTGAGGTTTAAAGCCTTTGGGCAGACTTAATTCCGCACCGCTACTTCTCAGTAAAGCTGCTGCATTTTTCTCCTTGCCTTGGTATTGATAACGATCAGAATTAGAGTCAGATAGCATACAGGTAATTATTAAGAAAAGCTGTTCATATACATGCATTGATTGGTGGGAACACTTTATGATAAGGGTATAAATCTGGTTCTTAAGTATAGCGCAACTAATGCATGAGTCATGATGATTAAATGAATCATCAATGAATGCAGGATGCATCATGACTTCCTGTTAGTGACTCAATAATTGTTGACCATCAGTTCACGTGATTAGATCATGCTTAATATCATCGATCAATACATTTTAATTCACAGATCATATCACCAAATTAGCTGGTTTAATCAAACTGGTACCCATATGTGAACTTCCACACGTTTCTACGATGTAAACTGTTGACGAATGCTTAAACACGTCTGTCCAGTCTCCCTTAATTTGTCAACTGGCACTTGCTGTTTTTGGTTTCAGTGCTCTTCTTCTGTGCTACAGTTCCCTTGAACAAAAACAAAAAAAGAAAACCTTATGTGCCACCCCCTCCTGTGAGATGATTGCATCTGACTACAATAACACAACATTTTTAAGAGAATAGGTTCTTCTGCTTTTTGAAGAGGCTGATCAAATGCATGGGTCTGAAATGTCCTACACTATGTACATAACTGGATTCTAACTAATTTGGGGGAATATAAATGTACGTAACTAATCACATAAAAATCAAAGGGAGTTAACTTCTGAATGGCGAGCAACAACAATTCATGATACATCCTATATTCATTCATGCATTAAATCACTGTGAGTCACTGAAGCATTAAAGGTTACCGATTAGGACACAAATGGTTACTCACTTGTGTCTCTGTGGTGTGAAAAAAAGAATGGTGATATGTTAAGAGCACAATGTGCTGCTGACAGATGGAGAGCAGCCAGAAATCATATGAGGCAGCGGGTGGAACATTGTGCAATCCCTGGAAATTGAGCAGAAATTGAGAAGCAAAGCACTGCTCCCTGTGGCCCGAGAGCCATGTAGCCACAGAGGATCAGGGCCACCTCAGACAAAAGCCTAACAACGAGGCTGCAAGAGAAATCATCTCCTGGAGTGCACACCACTTTTCTGTCTGCAGCCGCAGATGCAAGTCATTGATTCTTTGGAGCACGTCACTAAATGACCCTAATTGATAGCCTGTGAATAAGGTCACTCATATTTTTTTTTCTCCCCCAGCTCCTGAATCCGAGACAAACCGGCGCAGAGGAAGGAAGGAACAAGGGAGGAAGAAGCAACACACTAACCTTTAACATGCAAGAAGGAAAATGGCTGCGCACCAGCTCTATCTATACAATTTTCTCTTTTCATTGAGGAAAAGTACTATTTCATTCATGCCATTTCCGTTCATTCATCAGCTGGGGCCAGCCTAGACTCACAGTGCCATCTCTACACCAACATTCTTATCAATGGACGTGACGTCAGCACTGCCTGCAGCTGGGGGGGGGGGGGGGGGGGTCACGTGGTTCAGTGAGGGGTATATACAATAAAGTTGCGCTGACTGTGGGGCTGAAAACATTCACACAATTGTACATTAGCACCAGGGCTGCTGCCATACAAACTCACCGCACAACTAAATAAAGATCAGATTTGGTTTTTTTTCTTGATGTTGGCCACAAGCTGAAGAAAGAGGGGGGGGAAACTGAAATTCTATCAGGTGATCTACATGAAGTAATCTTGGCTTTAACCGCGTCGTGAGTTTCACCACTTTCCCACCCCCCAGTGGGACTCCAGGTAAGTGGAACGACATCTCATTTTGTCATTTACAAGCTGGAATTAGATAGGTCAGAACGTTTTTTATTTTATTTATCTAATCGTTATTAAATTCAGACTTTTATTTTGGAAAAACAATTTGGAGGAGAGAGGCGTGTTGTAGGCTTGAAGTGTGTGGAAGAAACCTCAACTTAATTAGAAGATGTCATCTGTTTGCCACAACTGGCCAACTGTTGTCCATTTGAAAAGTAGATATGTGCTGCGACTGTTTGTATACAATATTTTGTTTTAAAGTAAAACCGAATACATTTTAAAACTATTGAGAAATATTTTTTTCACAATTATTTTCCACTATATATTTTTACTATTATAATTATTACTAAATTGAGACATTAGCACATTTTATGTACAAACCAAGTTTTTTATATGAATGTATTAATATCTATAATAATAATGCATAATTGTAACAACAAAAAAACAATAGAATATGTTATTTCGTATTTATTTTTGGGGAGGGATAATTAAAGAGTTGAGCCTCTACAATCCGTGGAGAATTATCTCAATTATTTCTGTGTTCAAGAGACCCGGTAAAAATCTGTCAATATTTTTCAAACGTCAATATAACAAAAAAGTGCCAATTTTGGGGGGTTTAAAAGCCACAAATTTTAAATTCTAATTAAATTATATTCGAAATCACGTCTTCTGTAGGCCAGCTACCTTATTAAGTGGTTTGGGATTTTTTTGTTTCCACCCTTCTGATCCAGTTTATGAAAATGGAAATAGTTAAAATTTGTGTTCGTCTGCATTCCACCACAGCCACTGAGGAGAAACATGCCCACACCACACAAGGACAAAGCCGCGTTACTTACAGATTGCTTCCCCCGTTCCTTGTACAAAAAAGGCTGTATCCTCTCAAATTTACCATCCAGCTCATTTACAATTTGGATGGACCACTCAGGGACCGTAGGGTTAAATAACTCAACCGTAGCCACCAGGTTTACGCATGACTTCCCCGTGCGTGCAGTCTTTGTACCGGTGTCCTCACATCGCGTTGAGGCACGGAATACCAAAATCACAGCTAATACAGAGACAGAGCTCAGCTCAATTTGTATTTTCTGCATCTTTCTTATGAAATAGAGGTTTTGCGCTTAAAATGGCAAGTGCGTGCGTCCTGGTTGGGTTGGATTGGAGGAAGAGGTGAGACATTTTTTTTTAAATGCGAGAAATTCACCCTGTATATTCGATTCGTGCATTTCTTTGCTGTTATAATAATTTAGTCGGTTAAATCTAACAGAAGACTAAAAATACGAGAGCATGCATCAGTTTATCCGCGCGGTGGAGAGATAATGACTGGGTTAACGCCACGACTACAGGCACAGAAATGGCTCATGTGTAGGTTCGAAGCGCAATTTCTATATGCAAATGATTACCTTCCACTTGAAATACATGGGCAATTAGATCGAAAGACGGTCAGATCAGACTCTTATCTCTGTGTTTCCAGATATACACGTAAACGGCAAAAACAGAACAAATAAGAAATACCATAAACTAGATTTTGATTTTCCATCATGAGCATCCAGAATAAAAAAAATACATATGAGAGAGAGAGAAGCGAGCAACTTTCTTTGTTGGATTTGGCTTGGCTCATTACGCTGCGTTTGGCTGCTGCTTTGTTCTCAAACGTTTGTTCATTTCACAACTGCTCACAGTGGTAACTGCTTTCGAATGGTGGCTTCACGGTGTAAAGATACATTGTGTTAAAATCAAGACTGGTAATCTGTTATTTGTGTTCTCTCATCCTTAAATCAGTGAAGTATGACGTATCCTCCGTCATCTTCTGTACATTTTAAACTGGCCTCTTCATAAATCAGCTGTATATTATTTAAATACTCTATATGTGCTCATATTGCCATTTTGAAATTACATGTAATCTTGAACCCAAAGATATAAACTACAACGAATAATTTCTCCTGTGTCTTTTGTCCTTCTCCCTCTGCCTTCTTCTTCTTCAGGTGCTTAACCTCCCTCCTGCCAGTTCTGCATGGTCATGACCTGTCATCACGCCCCTTCCACAGCCCACCTCATCCTATTGGTCCTGCTCATTGTCACTCCACATCTGGCTGGCGCCGCCCCTGCGTGGGGTGAGGGAGGGGTGGAGGGGCGCACCCGGACAGACCTTAGAGAGGACAACCTTGCCCCCTTTCTCTCGCCCTCACCCCAGAGTCTCTCCATCCCTGACAACGGTTCGCTAGACCGGCGCCAGGGCCCGGGTCAAGATGACCGATCAGATAGAGTGATGGACCCTGCGCAGGTGCTCGCTGTGCTTTTGGAGGCCCTGGACCACCCGGGGGAGAGTGCATTCCAGGCGAGCAGAGACAGAGTTTGGGAAGAGAATGAGAGTCAGAAACTGCCCTCCATTGAAGGCGTGGCGGGTGATGAGATTAGAAGAACAGGGGAGACAGAGGGAGAGAGGGGGGAGGAGGAGGAGGAGGAGGAGGGGCGAGGGGCTGATAAGGCTATTGAACAGCTAATTGTAGGCCATTTGACAGCTGCTCAGGGTGATGACATAAAGGAAAGGGATGAGGAAGATAAAAACACAAGGTCAGAGGAGAATCAAGGGTGGTCTGTTGAGGATATGGGATCTGATAGTGTAAACGAGGAGGAAGGGAAAGAGGAAGTTGAGGGGCAGGAGGAGGGAAATTATTTAGAAAGTTTCTTAAAGAAAGCCAGGCCAAGTTCCACCTCACAGGGAGATGATCCATCTCTGCAGCGCAAAATAAGAGGGTACTTCCAAAACATTGACTTGGGTCTCCAAGATAATGAGATCCTGCCTCCTCTGAAGGGCTACAAAGCATACAACACTCAGCTCGCACGAGCCGGAAAAAAGCTGCACTGGGAGGAGAACCAGGATCGCAACCGACCCGTCGATGGGGGCAACTTCATGGATGACTTTGAGGATGAAGGTGAGGAGCTGGAGGAGGAGGTTGAAGAAGAAGAGGAGAGCCTCTCCCACATGGAAGAAGAGGCGAGAGCTCGCGCAGAGAAACAGGAGGTTCTTCGGCAGCAGGAGGAGGCGGAGCGAGCCAGAGAGGAGGAGCAGAGGCTGGCAGACATCGCCTCCGACATGCTGCTGCAGTACATGGGGAGGAAGCAGCAGTCCTACATGAAGCCCCGGCAGAAAAGCAGCATGGGGCCTGCCAGCAACACTGCTGAGGACAAGCGCTCCGAGGAGGTCATCCCCGATGAAGACGACGTGGACCAGCAAATGATCGACAGGCTGATTGAGATCAGCAGCAAGCTTCACCTGCCTGCTGATGATGTGATTGAGATCATCAGTGACGTGGAGGAGAAGAAGAAGAAAAGGAAAGAGCTGCAACAGTTGCCAATCAACAGCAACCCTGTTGCCCCGCGCTTCAGGCCTCTGGTACCTCCTCCTCTGGCTGCTCCGCCTATCTACCACTACACCGCCTCAAAAAACCCCAAGAAAGCCCCTTATAGGTACAACAAGCCCAACAAGAAATGGCACAAGGACAAAGTTATGTCATATAAGCAGGACTATTGGTACAAGCCTCAGAAGCAGCTCGACTACTGGTATAAACCCCAGAAACAGTTTTTAGCCTTCCCCTCCTATCCATACTACCAGAAGCCATATCGAGCATACTACCCCGTTTATTTCCCATATCCCAAACCACAATATTATGGCAAGCCCTCCCCCTCCAGAGACCAGCCGTTCGGCCCCCAGGAACTTGACCTCCAGCCCCCAAGGCGCAGGCACAGGGCTGGGGGTAAGAACCGTGGACAAGGCTGGAGGCAGCAGCCAGCACCACGCCTGCCTCTCACCCCTTATATCTCTAACTATATCCTTCCTCACCCACGGACCTACCAAGCCCTACCTCCGCCCAAACCAATAACTGCACCCAGGAGAGGAAGGCGACCCCCGTACTACTATCAACAAGTCACACCGGGAGATGACTATGAGGAAGATGGGCTAGTGCCTCAGTTGGACAGTGAGGAGGAACTGGAAAACTTTATTGAGAGAATCTACATGAAACGCAGAATGTATTGAGAGACTTTTTGGACATTCGCCAGATCAGACGGACTGACAAGAGGCGGGATAGATATTCAGTAGCTGGTGAAAAGCTAAAAGAGAGGGGGGGAGGAAGAGTCGGGGAGATATGAGTTTTGAGCCTGATGGAAATTGAAGGGTCCTGAAGTAAAATCTTCGATTTGTGTTGTTTTAATCACTGTATTTTTTGTTGATTTTCTCGGTCAGGGAGAGGATGAAGGGGTCCCAGTTTAATCTCCCTGTAACCATATTCAGCCTCTTGCTCAGTTTACATTTTGAAACAGAACATACCATGGTGTATGTCTGCCTCCATTCAGGTCAATCTCTGAAGCTCTTGCATTGTTCAGAGATTTCTAGACACACACACACACACCCACACCCACACGTACACACAAGCAGTTGTGCCCATTTTAAGAGAACCATGTTTACAAAATCACTTTTATATTCTGTAAGTCATATTACAAAACTAAAGTAGTTCAATTACTTCTTAGCTACACAAATATAAAAAAAGAACACTGCTATTGTCAAATGTTCAATGACAGAATATTTTTGTTGTATTTGATGTGTGTAGTTGCCCGTCTTATTCCCGATTGGATCAAATTAAAACAGCTGCAATTTGCAAAAGGTATCAAACACACACATTTCAGTTTTTCAAAGTGAAGATTCAGATTTTTGCCTTACAAGCAGCATGGTTCTATAAGGGAAATATCATAATGCATAATATTATCACCACAACCGGTCCTAATGTAGAAACCCTGTGGACTCCAAAAGCACAAACTTAAAACACTCAACACTTCCAACCTGGTGGTCAAAGGGTTTTCAATCATTTTGGGATCTAGATATTTATGGCACAGCCACCATATTTAAGGCAGATCCACCATAATCACCATACAGTTCTCCTTGACCTTTTAGGAGTCATTTTTATCTTCCTCATCTTTTCTCATTGTTCATCTGCAATTCACATCCTCACACTACTTTTTCACACTTTGTTCTTTTTGCCAGTTTTCTTGCATCATCAATTATCTCTGGTTTTCCTTTCTTTCCAAAAAAAAAAAAAAAGAATACTTGAAATCACACTATCTATTCTGCAGCTTTTTAAAAACAGATTACCACCAAGAGGCTACAAACATTTTGTTCATTTTCAGAAGAATTTCATTGAAAAGTTTCAGGCCGGGGAGTCAGGGATTGTGCTTCAAACCGTTAAATGCACGTCTTTCTACTTGCATCTTAAAAAATGAACAAAAAAAAAAGAACAAAAAAAGAGAAAAAATAAAACAGTCAAGGGAACTACAGATGGTCGTTTTCTCTGAATAAACTGTGAACATAAAAAAGAAATCTCAAAAAGGAGGAGGGCCACTGTGTCCACAGTGAAGCCATCTGTCTTGTAAAAGGAGAGTGTTGTTGTTGATGTCACCTTTAGCATTGTAAGATGTACAGTGTTAAATAAATATGCCCGTGCAATGTGTAAATAACAGCATGATGATTACTAGTTTTGCTATATGACAAAAAATAAAAGCAATTATTTTATTAAAGTTCAGTTTTTTAATGGCTTTTTGGCGAGTGCTATGTTGTACTTGTACAGCAGCAAATATAAGAAGAACACTGATACTTGAATAACAAATCCAAAAACACAAAAGAGGAAGACAATCAGTTAAAGCTTAGCGACAGCGCGACTCATAAGTTGCATTACTATCGAGGCATATTAAGAAAACCTATAGAGGGAGTTTATTAAATTCCAAGACAGTCAAAAATGAACATGAGAAGAACAGCAAGAATGGAAATGAAAAGGGGGGAGGAATAACCGAAAAACGGAAGAATTTAGAAGGAGGGAGGGAAATGGTAACTGCAGTGATTGATGAGTCACATGATTGGTGGATGAGTCATCCATCTTTACACTTTACTGCGCAGGACCAATGCGTGCTCTCGAACACACACACACACACACACACACACACACACACACACACACACACA